GTGTGTAGTAGTAGTAGGTGTACAGGCTCAGTGCTAAGGGGTCCTTAGAAGGTGAACACAGGCCCCGCCTCCAAGTGCTCTGTGAGTCCCCACTTGCCGGGTGCCCTCCTCCGCTGGCCCTCCAGGGACCGGCCGGGCGCCACTCACCTCGCTGGCCCGGAGAACTCCGAAGAACGGGTAGAGGAAGGCAGGCACCAGGGCTGCAGCTCCGAGCGGCACGGCCTCGGACACCCAGTACACGGCCGTGACGATGAGCACATAGGCACACGAAGCCTCCTGCAAGGGGGCAGAGGTGGTCAGGGGCAGGGCAGCTGCTGCCGGGAGAGCCCAGCCCTAGTCCTGGACACAGCGTGCCCCTGCTGGCTGGACAGGGAATGCGGCGAGGCCTGGTGCTCAGCTGGCAATGAGTGGGCAGTCCCATCGCTCTGCTGGAACCTGAAACCCGGGAGATGGATGGTGAATGCTAACTGGCGGTCCAGGCCCAGAGCAGGTACCTCGAAGGTGGGGCTCAAAGCCAGCACCTAGCAGTCTGTGGTCACGTTTGCCCGAGACCAGAGCCTTCCAGGTGATGGTGTTTCAAAGGTCCTCAAGGAGCACAAACAGTGTGCGTTCACCTAGACGTCTCAGAGTTGCTGTGGTCAGGTGCTGGGCTGCTAAGGTTGGTGGTTTGAACCGGGGGCGAAAGATGGGGTTGTCAGCTTCTGTCAAGAAGACAGCCTGCGAACCCCTTTGGGGCGACTCTCCCCTGTCCTGTAGACTCGACCCTGGCCATGGGTTGGAATGAACATGACAGTGATGGGTCTCGGCTTTGGTTTGGGTTACTAGGGGGACACAGCCCGGAAAGCCCCGCGGTGCAGTTCTATGCTGCACCACGCGGGGGTGCTGTGGGCCGGAATCCACGCAGTGGCCGCCGGTTTGTTTCTGGAAGGTGCTTCCAGATTGCTAGGGTGGATGGGTGTGATGGGTCCCACCTGAGCCCTGAGCGAAGCCAGGCTCAGTTCAGCGGCGTGTGGAAGAAGGCACGGCCCCTAAGAGGTGAGGCTCTCGGACTACAAGTAACCCGGAAGGAGCCTTTGTAGCTCTGGGGTCTGTGTGTGTGTGTGTGTGTGTGTGTGTGGGTGTAGTGTCTCAGGAATGCCCCGTGGGGCAGAAGGAACCCAGCCCCTTCTCTAACTTCATCCCGACCAGGAAACCTCTGCTCTCCTTTGATTTGTATCCTGAACGACACATGATATTTAGTTTGGGGTGGGGGGGGAAAGGAGGGGTGGGGTGGTGTTGGTGGTGTCCACTTTGAACAAGCAGAGCGGCAGTCCTGCTTTAAGTGCTGTCCCCAAACAGGTCTGCCTCTTCATCAGGGACTTGAGATGCGACACCCCCTCTGGCTGCGTGCAAATACCAGCAC